ATGGTTTAATTATAAAAACTTACAAACCTTTGATAAAATTTATGTTGTTTCATTATACAGTTACAAAAAGATGGCCTCTTCCTATAGAAACAATACAAGGTAACGTTCAGTAGTTTCATATAAGTATCACAAATGATATTAAATACCTTAGTATACAAATTAATTCTCATCATAACTGGACTAAGCATAAAAATAATGCGTTGAATGTACATTTAAAAATAATCTATTTTGCACTCCCCAGACATACGTATGAATACGGTTGATGTACTACCAAATATATTCGTGAAAATGTCCGCCTTATAAACGTTGATTACTAAGAATTTATCCACCTATAATTAAACGTTTTTACTATACGTCTATATTAGATTTATAGTTGTAGTATATTTATACGAATTAACTTTGGTATAAAATACGTTTTTTTATGTACTACAATATACGTATGGATACTGTTGATATGCTACCCAATATATACGTGAAAATGTCCGCCCTAAAAACGTATATTTTTTTTATTTTTTATACGTCTAACATTACTACTTTATCTACCATTAATTATCCTGTTTTACTATACGTCTATATTAGATATATTTGTATGATTTTTATTAATGTGTAAAATGCGTCTACCTGATATTGTTTTAAATGTATTTCAAACACAAATTAAATAAAGTGATCAAAACAAAATTTCTAAAAGAGGCTATGGAAAAATGTTAATATATCTTAAATGATAGTTTGGATTTTATCCATAGCAGGTGTGTATACACCAGAAATAGGCATTACTCGTGTTTCTATTTTGGTTGTAATTGGTCTAAATATTTAGACATTTTTCTTTTGATCACTTGTTATATGTACAGAACAATATTTAATTAAAAAAAAAAATAAACAATAAAATACTAAAAAATAAATAAATACAAAAAAATAAACACTAAAATACTGAATAACAAACTAAACGAAACTTTTTTTAACAAAAAATATATATGAAAATAAAAATCTTAGCTCAACACTTTGGATGTGTTGTGTCCTAGAGACGGGCCTTAGCTAACTTAAGCTAATCTTGCATGGCACACCTAATCGTTCGGTCGAATAAGTCGCTTGGTTCACCCCCATTCCTATAACCAAAATATAACCCAATTTCAGGTGAAATATTTTCTAAACGCTCCGAAGTTAAATTTGTATTATTTTCTTGGAAATTATTATAAATAATAGAATCAGATGATCTGTTAATGTCCAAAGCCTTATTCATGTTATCTTCATTGGGAATAAAAAAAAATTGATTTGACTTTAAAGCATCTTGAACATTTTGCGCTATTTTTCTACGTAGATGACGCAGAGACAGGACTATTTTAGACATTTTATTAAATAAAAAACAACTGACCAAAAAAAAAGGAAAATAAGTATGCTTGGAATAACTAGGTAACCTAAAAAATACGTATAAAAATAAAAAAAACAAAGGTAAGGTTATGTTTTGAAGTTTCTATAAGCATTAAACACACTGTACGTACTTATAAAACAGTAGTTGTTGTAAAATGTAAAAGGAGTAGCTAAATTAAAACATTAATAGAAACTTACCTATGCTTTAAATCAATATTGTAAAAGCCAGGACGCCAAAGAAACATGCAACAAAAAGTGTACACAAATGAAAATGGACGAACCGATGAACCTGCTCCTACAAACCATTCCTTACACTGAACAATAATACTACTACACATACCCATGAGTAGAAATGAGAAAAGACCGTACCACTAGTACGTCATCCTCCATCCGCCATCTAAAAATAGTTCCATATGTATGGGGAATTTGTTATAAATATTACAGGTAATATAATTAAAAAAAATATGGATGTAATGTAAATAAATATATCTATAAGCTTTTAATTTAAATAAACCTAAATATATACATATTATTTACTTCTGTCTACTAGTTCATCGTAAACTGGTATTATGCGTTTAAGGTGACTTATATTTAAACGTAGAATAATATAGGTATATTAACTAGTATCGACAAACAGAAACGTTTAATTTATCTGTTAAAGAACGTTAAGTATAAAAATGGTAGATGGTAAACGTTTAAAAAATCAACCAAGACGAAATTTAAACGGGAATTATAAACGAAGAAAACATTGTAATATAATGTAAATTTATACGAATTTAATTTAAATAAATCTAAACGTATATTTAGGCCCACTGTATATAAATAGTTCATCGCAAACTAAAAATAGTCGTATATTGTTAACTATATTTAAACGTAGAAACATTTACAATTATATACCATAGGATATATATAAAAAACGTATAATATATCGTTTAAAACACGGTATGTAAAATCGTAAACTGTAAACGTATACGGAATCAACCAATACCAAAATAAAACGAGTATTACGTATAAAATACGTTAGTTATACTAATGTGTGCTGCCTGGGTCATAGAATCATTATTACGTTATAGGATCCTTTCTTGGAAAGGTGTTTTATCTGCTTATGCACAATTGTCCTGTAAAAAATATTAGTAATAATATTATGTAATAAAATGATCAGAAATTCTCTTTGATATTAGGAAGTTTTATACGTACTCCAACAAAAACATCTGAGAAAAAAAATTTAACAGCGGCGTTTGACCTAAATATAAATATAGGATATTTTTTTTAACGCATATCTATCTACAAAACATTTATTTTTCAAACCTTAATAATTTGTAAAATGTAGATTAATAAAGACTATCGGGTCGATTCTGTTTAATCTTGCTATAAAACTTGCTATCGTAACCATATTGTTACACTTATTAAGATATAACAATATGGATGTTTAAATTCATATTCTGTTTTGACCGATATAGCAATATTTGTTATTAGTTTTGGTCTCAGCAACATTGTTATGATTGTAATGTAAATTAAGCATTTTAGAGCTGACAACACTGTAAAATGAAAGGTGTTTTTGATGTTCTATGTTTTATATATCTAGGGTGCCAGGGAAAAAGAGTATAAGTCATGATTTGCTCAAAATGAGATAAGTCGAGCAACTGAATTCCTAAAGTGTTGCCCACATTTTGGTAAAATGAGTATAAGTCATACAAAGAAAATACGCATTATCTTTCCAATAATACAAACAGTATAACTAGATGGTTGAGATCCTTATAGTATATGTCAAGCTATACTGTTTTAACCAACGATCGAAATAGTATAAGTTAACATGTACTATTTTGATCGTAAAAACTGCTTGACTTATACTCTTAGAGCATAACCTCAAAAATATTCAGTGCCGAAATGTACACATGTTTAATTTTATTTTTACCATAGAACGTTCAGTTTAATAAAACAAATGTGTAAAAGTGTATTATTAGTTACAATGGCCAGTGATAGAACCAGAATAATAATGAGCCTTCTTGAAACACTTTTAAAGGGGGTTCTATTCGTAACCCACATACGATGTTGTAGTTTTGAGTGGAAAAACATACTCGCCTCTATTTTTTGATATTATAATGATTTGACGCAGTACGTTGAATGGTGAATGATTATTTCATGGGGTGAAAAAATCACCACGTTTTTTTACCTTAATGGTGTGTATGTAATATTATTTTCATGAATTTTTGTGTTATTTAGGAAAACAGCGGAAGGAAGATAGTCAACAAGCAGGCCCATCCAAGCCAACTGATGTACTATCGGAATGTAGTGACGACAGCGTGGCTGACAAAAATTATTTTCCAGATGCATCCGAATCAAGTGACGATGATGATGTGCACGTATTTAAGACCGTTTCAATATTGAAGACATCAAAGAGACCCAGAAATAAAAACCCATGCGCAGCTGCTCAAAATGATGTTGCGATGGAAAATTCAAGAAGAAATGCTGCAGAGAAAGGCGCTTACTCGAGAAAGAAAAGAAGCGAAAGAAAATAAAAAAGAAACACCGGAAAAAGTTACATAACGGCTAAAAATAGAGTAGTGAAAGAGAGAGTATCGAAGCCTTTAACGTCATGCCGAATGAAATGTAGCCAAAAGTTGGAAGTGAAATTTGACGAGGAGAGAACTATTAGAGAAAAAATATTTCAAGAGTATTGGGAACTTGGTGACAGAAACAAAAGAGTGAGGTTTATTGCTGGATACTAAGGAGCCCGCTTCTTCGAGAAAAACAACATTGGATCCTGATAAAGAAAAATTCCGAACGAAGACACATATCTTTCACTTTGTTATTAATGGTGAAAGGGTACGTGTGTGTCGTGCCTGTTTTATGAAAACGCTTGGAGAAACACAAATGTTCGTTACATTGTCTCTCTGCAATAAGAATAGCACATTATCTGGAATCACCTATGACTATAACAGGGGTAGATCAATTTCCGCTAACAAACATTCCAATGAAACTCTACAACAAGTTAAAGACCACATATCATCATTTCCTCTATACCAATCACACTATACACGAAGGGAGAGTAGCAGAAGATACCTACCTCCTCATTTAAGTCTGAGTTTGATGTACAATCTTTATTGTGATCAAATTAATAGCACCCAAAGAAAGCCAGTATCCAGGCAAATATATGAAAGAGAATTTCACAAAATGAACTTAAGCTTCAAAGAACCCAAAGTCGATACTTGTAATAAATGTGACTTGCTCAGAATGAAAATCAGAGTAGCAGGGGATGAAGAAGAAAAGAAGAAAAGTGAAGAGGAGTTAGCTATCCACCATATAGAAGCTGATAATGCCTACGAAGAGAAAAGAAAAGATAAGGAACTGGCAGCTAATGATCAAACTCGGCTTTGTTTTATGTTTGATTTGCAGCAATGCTTACCAACCCCAATGTTGAATACGTCAGTTGCCTTTTACAAAAGGCAACTTTGGACCTTCAACCTCACCTTACATGAAACTAGTACTCAATATGTTAGATGTTACATGTGATATGAAGCTGAGGGTGGCCGGGGAGGAAATCAAATAGCTACATGCATTTTTAAAGAACTTACTTCGCTTCCTTCACAGGTATCGAAAGTAACCTTATATTCTAATACCTGTGGAGGGCAGAACAAAAACTCTCATGTTGCCACCATGTTTTTAGTGGCCATGCAACAAAATACACACTTGGAAATTGTGGATCATAAGTTCCTTATTAGTGGACACACTCACCTAGAGTGTGATGTGGACCATGGACTCATTGAAAAGCAAAAGAAGAAGTTGCAAGTGCCTATCTCCCACCCCTATGATTGGTACCAGCTAGTTCGTTCAGTTGGGAAAAAAAAGAAATTTGAAGTTATCGAGCTCAATCATTCGGATTTCCTTAATTTTGCAGATCTGTTAAAAAAGAGTTTGCAACTTCGAAAAAAGGATGTGGAAGGAAATCAATTCAACTGGCATTCCGTAAAGTGGTTTCGTTATACACGCGAATCTGGAAAAATACTTTACAAAACCACTTTGGACAACGATGAGCCTTTTCACACCTTATGCCTTAATCGTCGAGGACAACCAGATTCACGTTTGCACCCAGAACGCCTCTACAAATCTTCCTTACCCATTTCAAAAGAGAAGAAAAAAGATATTTTAGATCTTCTTCCTCTTATTTCACCAACATTTCACGATTTTTATAGAAACCTTAAAAGTAGTGACATGCCTGATACTTACCCTGATTCAGAAGATGATGACCTGAGCGACCAACTGCAACAGATATGAAATGTGGGCATCAATATTTTTTCCGAGTTTTTTTCTTATTATTCTCGAGCGATTTTATGTTCCTCATAGGTTTGTGGATTTTGTTTTGTTTGGTTAAAAAAAGTATGGTTAAAAAAAGTTACATTTTTCATTTGCTCCAATTAGGATAAGTCATGTTTTCCGTTCTATGATAACGTTGAGTTAATCTGTTCCTCTTGTATAATATCTTAACTAATTAACTATTTTGTTAATGCAGTAACAACGTTAACTATTGATTTCCTTAAAATCGCATATAAATAAATTTGATTTCTGAAAAATCAACTTTTTTGACTTATACCCTTTTTCCCTGGCACCCTAGATATAAAAAAGAAGTATTTGGTTGGAATGTTGGAAATATTTTGTTGATTTTATATATTTTAAATAATTTGTTTGTTCAGTTCTTTTTCTTATTATTTGTAATTTAGTAGTTAATCATTATTAAAAAATACTAAAATGCCTTCGAGATAGGCTCATAGTAGGAAAACAAGCAAAAGTCAAATGGAACTTTTAATCAACTTTTTAGAAAAAAATAATATTTTTATATACGGAAAAACTCATCCTCTAAATCCACTGTCCACTGGAGGTAAAAAACAAATGGGACGAGCTTATTGCCTCACTTGTAGGCGAAAAGGAATTGTATCCCTTCTCCTTGGTGCTTCTACCATTTCTGATAACTCTTCTATCAACTGATGAGCAGCATTCTTATGTAACCTAAACAATTTAATAAATTTCTCTTGAGGCAGTTCAAAATGATTACTAGTATCTCTGATATGTCTGAATTGTAGTCTCAAGAGTTCCCTAAAATAAAAATATAAATGTTACTATTTACAATATGGTACTTATCTGTCATCTGCCCTAAAAATATTTACCTGTTTGCTATATTTTCATATTAATTTATAAAATGTAAGTGAAAAATACTGGATCAGTCATTTTTAAAACTTTAATCACATTCACAATTCATATAACCACCTTGTTATCCCGCTAACAAGTACAAAAAAGAGCTTGCTGAAATAGCAAGCTTCTTTAGCAAGATCTATTAATAAATGACAGATCATATTGTTTAAAATCGACGATAAGGATACGGTATTCTGCAAATCTCGCTATGATAGCAATATCTTTTGAAATTAGCTCCATAATAACATTGCTATGGCAAATAGAATCGACCCGATTGTCATAATAAAGACGTAAAAAAGTCAATATTTTTTTTTTAATACTGTTATGTGAGCCATTTCATTATTCAGTCATGCTCTAATCCTCCAAGTCCCTCTCTGTCTTATTTGGCCTTTGAGGCTCAAATTGTCCACTTATCATACATAATTAAATCCCTTAAGACCAAACATATGCGTCGACTATGGTGGAGGCACTTTCGCGAACATTCCTGAGTCAACGTGATAATGTTTCTGGTATATTCCAGATATGAGATGTTTCTATTTTGGTGGAGGAGCATTCTGGAATCTATCAATTTGTGTATAAATATTGGTGGAGGAACACAGGCAATTCGTTATATAGATAGACAGTGAAGATAAATAGTGAACAGTTTAAAGACTTTCGAAATATATAAATTAGAATAGTATTGTTATAAAAATAAATAAGTATTTAAATAAATTACTAATGAACAAACTGTTGTTTAAAATAAACAAACATCACAATACATTATTGCTTTGATTTAATAAATCCCTCTATAAATTATCCCATAAATATTTTCCTATATTTATCCCACCCAACATGCAATTTTAGAGTAAAATTTATTCACATAATAAAGGTTAGTAAAAAAAATGCAAACTTCTCGCATTAAAATGAGAGAAATCTGTAAATTTAAATAATATGCAACTGAGAATTTATTATTTTCTTTTCTACGAGCCTTTATGACAGTACGTCACTGGTAGACCGGAAACACTTGTCGCCATATTCGTCTAGTTCACTGTCAAAATTAGATACTATGGCGATTCCAAGGTCGTTTAGGATTCCTCCATCCTGGCTATATACAGGGTGTCCTGAAATTAGACGGTCATATTTTAACAGCGTAATCTAGAGTACGATTCAACTTAGAAAAAGCCACGGGCGTCATCAACTAGTCATCGTCTGCCTCACTTTAAAATATTCCTTCTCCGTTGCTCCAGATCGATATACCAGTGGCGTAGGCTCTTATTATAATAAGAATTAAAGCAGTTTTCCAACAAAAAACATTTATTGGATTAAAAAGTTAAATTTTAATGATTTAAACATTTGTATATTACCTAAATAACTAAATTAAAATAACATTACATATATTAAAGTTGAAGGTGGTAGCCATGTGTGAGTTATAAGTTCAAAAAGGTAAATCAAACGAGGGTGGTCCTTAGGATCTCACAAGAGTATTTTATTACGACCGGTTTCGAGGATCAGATCCTCATCATCAGGTAAGGTCTAAAAATAGAGAGGAAAAACGAATGAGCTCATAACTAATAAAGTGGGTTTAAACATTTTAATATGAAAGTTGTCAAATATCAAGAACTCACCCGTAATTACTCATCTATTTAAGACTAAGCTAAGAGAATTATCCCAGGGTCGGTGTAAAAACAAGTATGCGAGTATTTTTTAAAATACATAAAAAAATATAAAAAACAATAGTTGCAACAAAAAGTTGATGTCAAAACACATAAACAAAAGTAGGTCTAAAACTATTAATTAAAATTATTAAAATATTTCACGAACGGACGAACAATTAAGACAAACAAATTTAAAAACTTTTTAAACCCTACAAGCACTAAAATGGGTTCTTGGACAAGTGTTTATAATTCTACAGGAATTAAATTTTATTTAGATTAAATATACTGATTAACGCCCTCAAGATATAAATAGACGAATTAACCATTCTAATATTTAAGATAACAGTTTAGAGGTTGTCAAATTTAAATATTTACGGGTGAGTTCTTGATATTTGACAACTTTCATATTAAAATGTTTAAACCCACTTTATTAGTTATGAGCTCATTCGTTTTTCCTCTCTATTTTTAGACCTTACCTGATGATGAGGATCTGATCCTCGAAACCGGTCGTAATAAAATACTCTTGTGAGATCCTAAGGACCACCCTCGTTTGATTTACCTTTTTGTATTACATATATTTTTCGACTTTCATTAAGGAAGTAAATAAAAATAGCAACACAATTTTGTAATTTAAGATTTTTATTACAATTAAAATAATAGTTATTTATGCAACTAGTGCAAAAAGTGAAACTAGAGGAGCACATCCTAGTTCGTCCGTTAATGAACTATTATACTCTGTTTTTAAACTAAGAGAAGCGATTTGAATTTAAGTTGGCAATTCTGTAGCCTTCTGATTGGTCAGATTACGTCAGTTTCACACATTACTTTTTAGCATGAACATCAGCTAATAATTGATATTTTTGACAGTTCTGACATTTTATAATTTGATATCTCATCCATTACTTAGTTTTTTACTTTATTTCGTAAATAATAGTTCTTCAGTAAGCAATTGTATTGAAAATCTACAATTATGGATCCTTCTACACTGAGTACTATTAAAGATAACAATTCCTGAAAAGCCTTACAAGAAAGGGAAGACACCTTATTATTTTACATGCTGATTCTGAAGGTTTTGTAGAAAATGCATAATTGGTTTTTGAAGGTAAAAAGATGGGAGATTACCATGAAGAGATGAATTCCGAAGAATTTTAGAAACAAATAATTTTATTACTGATTTTTTAAAACTAAAAATTGATAAATTTCTAACCAAAATGATTAAAATGTAACTAAATATTCAAGCAAATTTTATTTATTAGAATAGAATAAAACTATTTACAAAATTGTTATAACATTTAAAACACCATCTACTACTTTAGGGACAATCTTAATTTGGCACAATGAGTTAACAATACTTTCACAAAAAATATTTTAAAAATGCTTAAAATTAATACATAGGTATGTGTGAATAGTTCACTTTAAAAAATATGTGTTGACATGTAGTGTTATGAAAATGTTGGTTCCAGTTTTCAAAACAAATTCTGACTCATAGACCTGTAAACTTTTGAATGCCTTTATTTGCCCTCTAGCGCATTAACCATGGGTTAACACTAAATAAGCCATAATGTCCACATTACTCATAGAAGAGATACCAGTTACTGTGTGATCCACTTGTCATTCACTGATTAACTTTTACTTTTTATACCTATAACAAATATATCCTTAAAAATGTAAACAGATCTTTATATTTTATACTAACCTGGCTACATCTGGATATTCCATTAACAATTTTCTTAAATATTTAATATCCATTTTAAAAAGATTATAGTTATTCTCAAAAAGTCGATTTCAAAAGCAAGAAAAAAGTATTTCTGATATCATCAACAACCATATTGACTTTAATTTGACAGTGACATTTCGTTTTAGACACACATTTCAGATTACAATAATGTGAAATTTGCGACCGTTGTCTGGGACCAATTAAAAAATTACTTCTATGACATTTATTCGTTTCTTAACCGCTCATTGGCCGTTCACCGACTAAGGCCGATAAAGATAATTATTTCATAAATTTTGAACACGACTATATTTCGAAACTCGCTCTTAGTAACAAATCTAGTTACTTTTCCCTGTGTAAATGCGTCTTTTCAATTCGCTCCTAGTTTAAAAACAAAGCATAGTACTCTTGCTGTCTTCATTTTCTTCCGATGAACCCGTATTTTTGTTCGTAAGTAAAAGCTTGGCAACGCCGAAGTTTGGCTCACAATAATAAGGGATCCATGATAGCTTCTGTTCGAATTATATTCTGGACAATGCGGCAGTCGTACAGCGTTGCCAAATTATTCAGCAATTGTATCTCTATATTAGAAAAACAAAAAAAATCGCCAAAACGCCACTGACGGTTAAATGGGATGGACCTAAGAGAGAGGCAAATTATTGCGACCTGTGTGTGGCTTTTTCTTAGTTGAATCGTACCCTACATCCTAAAATAGGAGTAAAAGTTCATATAAAAATAGGTCCGAAAACGTTTCGTTTTCGAGATATAGGGTGTTACAAGTGAAGTACTGATGGCACATTTTTGTAAATATTTTCTAGAATTTCTTCAGTCACCGGTTTTCTAAAGTTAAAAAAAAGTAAAATTTATGATTCCACAGGCCTGCTTATTATTGTTTACATTTTCGAATAAGATAACATCAACTTATCATGAAATTTTCAAATGCTTTTCTCTTGAAAATGGTGCGTCCTAGAGAGATGCAACAAGAGTTGCTTTATATAAAGAAAACATTGGTTTTCCAAATTTTATAGTCAAAAATGTTAAAAACTGTCAACAAAAAAACTTAGGGCAGTTTTACCTTAAGCC